TGCGGCTTTATCAAAGGCGATGGCAAAAAAGCAAATATTGGCAAAAGTTTTTATCTGAGCTTAGTAAGTTTGTCATCGTTGAAGAAAATACAATAAAAATGTGTATTGATGGTATGATATCAAACGGTTGACTTTAAGATACCTTGTAGTTGTGGTCTGTCATGTCGACCAGGTTATCTATCATGGGTATAGCCAAAATATCTGCATTAAATTATACTTTTTAAAACTCAAGGATTATTTAGTCTATGATTTTCGAATTTTTACGATATTAAAATAACACACCTCAAGATTTGCATACCGAAAATCCTTTATTATAAAAGGGGTATAGCTCAACACTTTGACTGTTTATAATTATCAATACTATAAGGAGCATACTCCATAAGGTCGAAGATCCCCATTTTCACATTAATTTAATGTGCACTCAGTACAAATATTCCAAAACATGCTTGCCACAAACCCATGTACATTCAGCTTGCGAAATGGAAATGCTAGAATAATGCAGTTAAAATTGTAGTTCAAGCTCGGAACATGGAAACTTACAACGAACAATATTACACATCACACTCTCGCATGTTTGGGAGGAGTAAGTGTGCCCTGTCTTTATAGGTTCTAGTATAAACTTTTCCATTAGCTCGTTAACTCGCTGATACGACAATAGCCAGCAGAAATAAGCGAAAACAATAACAAACACATTAGCATCGTTGCCGCTGAGTTGTTGCTTTTGTTGTTGTCATCGTCTGTCTGTCATTGATTCACATTCATCGGAGTGTTGGTGACGTTTTTTTTTTACTTTTTACTTTTTTCTATTGACCAGTGGAAAATATATAACCACAAAGTGTAACTAAATGTAAGCATGAATTAAATATGCAAAAGCTCAGTAATCGCTAAGCTATTGTGACGCTCAGTTGTTAATTTCATTTGCGTAGAGTTCGCTTTATCTTTACTAAAGATGGTAGCGTGAAAAAATCAAATTTATTCGTATGTATTGAGTTAAGAAAATAAAGTTGAACGTATCACGCGCTTTACTCTTGCTTAAAAGCATAACTGATTTCTATGAAAATGTCGTGTCACGTTCACATCTCTAATTCGAAACGCCAAATGAGCAGTCGCGTGTGCTTAATTTGATATGGCGGTAGTCAATGCAGTCACAGCTACGCACTCAAATTCTACAATTTACGTAGATTCAGTTATTCTCAGGTCTCTCAGATATTTGCTAATATGATCGATAGTATTACTTGTTCCATTACAAAAGTCTTCCCAGCTAAACCAACTTGCGCAGCGTAACGGTTAAAAATGCTTGAACAAATGCGACCTCGACGTGGTCTTAGAGTGGAACTAAAAATCTCGGAATTTGTTTTCACGTCTATATTCCCAGTATAAAAATATAAAGGAATGTATTGCAAGTGCCAGTAATCGCAATCAACGAACGACTCTGACTATTTTACCAGTAATGAAACGCATTGTCAGGCTTGCAGTTAGATTGTCAGAGCGAAAGAACAAAGAAGTTGAAACAAATGCATTTATGTATACATGCATAAAGTACATACCTATATCAAAACTGTGGACATAACTAATGCAAAACAAGTAAGAGGTTCTGTCGGGAGCTCCCGACTAGTGGACACCCTAAACCCTCTTCTTTCAACATCAAATGCATATATATATTCTATTTTAGAAGCTATATGTCAAGTTTGCGACTCTAGCTCTTATTATTTACCGAAAAAACAGAATATCGATATCGATTTGTATCGATTGCTTGGAAACGGAGTAAATTATCGATTATCGGAAAGAAACTCGATCTGCGCAGGCACTAGGAGCACCTACATCTAAAATTTCAGTCTCTAGCTCTTATAGGTTTTGAGATCCTTGCGTTCATACATACGGACATACGGACAGACAGACAGAAGGACATGGCAAGATCGACTCGGCTATTGATCCTGACATGCTGATTGCACAAATACAATATACCCTTATACCCATTTTTAATGGGTTCAGGGTATATAAAACAGGAGACTTATATATGTATGTCTAACTCACGTGTCAGCTGTTAACAAATGTACCCGCAGTGTAGAGAGTTTTTATTTGTAAGTTCCTAGAACACTTGGCAACTTCCAGACAGTTCATATGTATGTGTGTGTAGCTCTCAGAATTGCTTATCACACCGTGCATACTATGTGGCTCCGACCATACCTTTTTGCGAGTCTGACCTGACTCAATGGCCTTTCTCCTGAAAACCCAGTCCATAGTTTGCCAACAGTAGGGTGATTGTTTCTTTGAAATACATTTACTAAATATCAAAAATTTAGTTATAGTTACACAAGAGAAAAGTGCAACTAAAACAAGCAGTTATAGAAACATTTTAATATAGTTAGTTTCTATTGAATGTTAAAATGAACCTTACCAACATGCGCTCTGGTGCTCGAGTCCTGTCTGAACACGATTCAGCTTGCAGTTTTCTCCGAGTTTCAAGAATACATTGTAATTAAGGATTCTTGCAAAACTAATCTAATCTCATACTCTTTTTTTAGCAAGCTATTCAACAGTCGCAACTAAAGCTCGGTTGTGCACAATAAAGTTTTATTTCAGCCCTTCTCTAGACTTAAAGGTTGAAATTCGCATAATTTCCAGCAATAGAAAAATAATCAAGTAAATATATATAACGCAAACCAATAAATAATTGAACCGATAATATATTTATGCAGTTATTCTGTGTAATACCGCAGCCTTGCATTAGTATATTCTAGATATAATAACAGTTTACAACAGCTGACCCATCATCGATGTTCTCTTTGTTCTGTAAGCAAAACTATTGCCAATTGACCCACATGGCCTGACCTTCGCATCTGCCTACAATTTTGCCAAGCTAACGAACAGTTGCCTAATCAATTTACCGACCCTCAACAACATAATTAGTCAAGCTACCACTCGGTCTCAATTACAGCTTTAAAACGAACTTGGTCTATGGGAATTCACCAGCAGCTGCAAGCCACTTAAAACTTTCTGAACGCACAGCTGGACATAATAATATCGGGGCGTAGGGTGATAAATTGTAACCAAAGGCCAACAACGAAGGGCAACAATCAGGTCACATATCCAAGCCATCGATTAGAATTTTAATGCAATTTAGGATGACAACCTGTGAACCGTAGGCGATGAGTGCTCATTGACACCTATGTGCTCATAGACAGCCTGTCAAAGCTTTATTATTACATTAACTATAACGCATTAGCAACCCTTTCAGTGTGGGCTGTCATATTATAATGTTGTAATGCGGAGCGTCTCGAATTTATGCAAAAAGTGCACAAGCATTGGTCGGGCGGGTTCACTGCACTTGGCTGTGGCAGACAATGTCTGATTTCGGCTGCCAGCATCAAATTACCCGGACAAGTAAAGAAAATGAGTCATAAAGAACGACGAGAAGTTACCCATTACCCTTTTACCCAATGTAAAGTGGCATTATTTCATAAGAAATTATCGATTTAAATCAATTTTAAAGATATAACTAAGCTGACTTAAAGTTTTGTTTGCGTTTCCAGAATGGTATGTTAATATTTACTTGATAGACAAATTGTTCCACAAGAAATTTAACCACTATACAGACCCTTTCCCTGGCTGCAGGGTAACATGAAAATGCATCAAGCATATATATGATCATAAAAAGCGAAAAATATATGCCATACTCGCCACTAGCCACTTTGAGGTCAAAGTGTATGACACATGTCAGTGGCCATAGACAATAGAGCAGCCTGCGGCATCCTAATGCTGGCGACTCGCATAGCATATCATGGCAGAAGCTCTAGTTCGGCTGCATAAGAAATGTTGGCGGGACAACACAAAAAAGTAGTCGTTGGCTTTATTTAAGCCTGATTCGGGACAGTTGTGACAACATGCTTAAGGCCAATGGCTTGGCCACTTTTGACGCATGTGGACTTGCCCCCGTTTTCCCAGTTTTCCACTTTAGCAACAAGGTCAGCGACTCCTACGCCATTCGATCGAAATGATGCCCACTGGTCTGTTCTGTTCTGTTTCGGTATTAATTGTTTACTAGGCAATTCAGAAATGAAAACACAAATGCATTTATTTATAGCTGGACAACACGCCATGCAGGCCAACTGACCTACATCCAGTTCCGCGTCGCATCGGGTCTGTAGAACAATTTGAAAAATTAGTCGGAATATTCGGTTATATAATGATATACTAAATATGTGTATGACCTTAGTGACAAGAGCTAGTCAAAAAGTGCGTCTGACTTTTGCTGATTGACAAGTTTACACATCAACAAAAACACATTTCGGAAATCATATTTTACTAATGCGCCTAAAATAAAAAGTTATTGAACATTAATTATAAATTCCAATATCTTGCAAGCTGACAACTGCCCTTGTCTATCGACTGTTCACCTTAGATAGGAAAAGTTCTGAGCCCAGGCACGTGGCCAAAAGTCATTGAATCGTTAAGGTATTCAAAAAGTAATACATCAAAATATATCTACTTCCAGTTTGATATATGTGCTTGAGCTTAAGGCATGCGAAAATTATCATTTTCCGATGGTGAAATTTGATATACTCATATTTGCATATGGACAAACGATGAGTCACATTGACTAAAATTCGCTGGAATTCGGAATGTTTGTGGAGAATTTAAATAGTTGATATATAGAGAAATTTAGAGAAAAAAAATATATATTGTACCAGTAAAGCTTAACAGCTTTCAATGCGATTTTCTTAAAGGCAAATAGGACCTTTAGGAATTTGATTTATTGATTTGATTTGACTTTGATCTGGAAAATTCTCTTCCACCTGTTCTATCATTTTTCTCCTTAAATATATGTTCTTTTCAGCGTGGCGTTCTTCATAAAGGAAAATAAAATCTTCAAAAATGCTCATTTTTATTGGTAATATGTGAGTATTTTTAAAATTGTTTTTTCCTTGCTGATTATCTTTTATTACGAGCTGTATTTTCTCTTTTCCCAACTTTCGCCCACTCGATCTGACATTTTCATTCTCAGTCTTCAATATTTTATCAAAATTAAAATTGTCAACATAACATTTTCTTTGAGTTTGCTTTCCTTTTCGATTATTACCTTTTTGCGGAACAGTGTCTGCTAAAAAGCTACAAACAATGATGGCCCACAAATAATAAGCCTGCAGTAAATATGGACAAAAAAGAATCGCTCATATTTGCCGATTCACTGGGTTTTTTTCCCAGGAACTTGTACCATGAACTGGTAAAATTGAATCCCGCTATAAATCTAATATGTTCACCAATTTCTATACAAACCTGCGCCGGAATGTTGCGTATGGGCGCCGAAGATGGTAGTGAGACCGCCAAGCAGCTGGACGAGGGGCTTAACTTCACCTCCAGCGATGTCAATCTGTTAGCAGATGGGTTTTATAAGACCCTGAATTACTACCAGCAATGCAGTGTTTTGCAAATGGCAAACAAGATTTATATCATGGAGAAGTATCGAACACGAAAGGAATTTAGCGATGTGTTGACCCAAAAGTTTCTGTCCAATATTGAGCATATTGATTTCTCAAAAAGCAAGAAAGCAGCTAATACTATCAACGCATGGGTGGAGTCCAAGACGAATAGCCTAATAAAAGACCTAGTCGAGCAAAATGTTTTGAATGCAGACACTCGTATGGTGCTGGTCAATGCCATTCACTTCAAAGGCGAGTGGACCATCAAATTCGATGAAAGAGCCACGCAAAAAGAAGATTTCTTCTTTGATGATAAAAAACATACCAAAGTAGATATGATGCACTCTACGAACAACTACTTCTATGCGGATTTGCCGAATTTTGAAGCGAAAGCCCTGCGCATGGCCTATAAGGACTCTGAGCTATATATGCTGATAATACTGCCCAACCAGAAGAATGGCTTAAACAGTCTTGAGCAGAGACTGAAGTTAACGCCACTAGATAGCATAACTTCTCTACTGAACGAAACGAAAGTCTCTCTCAAAGTGCCCAAGTTTAAAGCTGAGTTCGAAGCGGAACTAACGCCTGTTTTCGAGGAACTGGGCATCGGTATAATATTCAGCTCAGAGGCTGAATTTGACAAAATGCTAGAGCAAAAGGAGCCATTGTCGGTGTCCAATATTCTGCACAAGGCATTCATCGAGGTCAACGAAGAGGGCACCGAAGCCGCTGCAGCTACTGCTGCGGTTATGATGATGCGCAGCGCGCCAGCTCCAGAGTCAATGCCAGAAGTATTTCATGCCAATCATCCATTTTATTATACAATTTACGATGAAAATCATGGCTGCCTATTCGTAGGGAACCTTCTTAATCCTGCAGTCATCACCTGCAGTCAGTGTTGCGAAATGGATTGAATGTTCAAAAGGTGAGAATAAACAGTGGCGATAATATGAAAATAAATACAATTTATTTTAATATAAATATAAGATATAATAATATTTGGTGTAAAATAAAATAATGATTGACGAAATAGGAAAATTAAATAAAATTTAATTCCACTCATACGAAAGTTATCCGTTGATAGTTAATATTTGATCAAAACCATTCTTAAAGGATATTTAAAAGTATTTCTTTGTAAGAAATATAATATATATAAGTTAACTGAACTAATAATCTCTAGTTACTCAGCTATCTTGGCAAACATTTACCCTTTCAATTAGAAGATCATTGTTATCTCAGAGACAAACTATGACTCAGTCTATGAACTGGTTAATTTCCATTGCAGCTTTATTATTATACATCAAATATCAAGACGGGCCCACATATCATTTATAGCAGAAAGAGAATCGGAGCAATGCACGCGGCTGTTGACTGATTATGAGATAATAGTCCCTACGAGGCGCCAAGCTTGACTGTCAAATTACTTTCGAGTAGCGCGATATGTCTGCATTCTTTTTGATAAAGCAAATTTACATTGGAGCGGTTGACGATACAAATCAGCATTTAGCCCTGCCCCTTATCAGCAGGCTTTATCAGAAGCCAGCAGATACTCAACTGGCGATAGGCAACCACCTTTGGTTAAATATTTGCATTCGCTGTGGTTTAGTTAGCCACCAGTCTTTGTAACAGCCAGCCTGCCCTTCAGCCAACCCACACACACACGCACACACACACGCATTCACACACGCACACACACACGCACACACACACACACACACAATGGCCTAGATGTCTGGCAAGTTATCTAAACGCATGTGCTTATCACAAGCGCTAAACAACAACGGAAAAGTGTTTGAGGGCGCGTCTTGTGGTGTTATTAAAACTGGCAATTGTCGTGCCTAATTCCAGAAAACAAGTGCAGCCTCTAACTGGCCTTTAATTAATGGCTATAAACATTTTGCGGCAGGCTTGAACCAATGGCCGTTTAATTTTATTGTCCCAAGCAATGAATATGGCTAAAAGTAAACGTTACATTCCTGACGGTCACAGCTGGCAAATACCCGACCACATTGTTGGCTTTTTCATGCTGCCCTTTTTATTCGCTCTTTGTTATTTTGCTGGCAAGCACTTAAAAAATTTAGCCAGCCCTGTAAAACAATTTAATAAAAAAAAAACTTTTTGTTTTTATTATTCATATAATTTACAGCTGGTTAAATGAGCTGCAGTTGCTGTGACCTCTTGGAGGTTGCAATAGCTATTTATAGCCACAAATAAAAATGAGTACCATATGCTCAAGGTCAACAAGTGGCATAAATCTTGCCTGATAAATTGTTTTAAAAAGTCAGAAAGTCAGCTAAAAGGGCTTTACAGTGCGCTATATAGTTAGCCATTGTAGAGATCGGCTATAAATATTAATCTCGACACAGTCTGGGAATTTATTTACATATTCATAAGCATGAAAGCTAAGTTAGATTGTTACAACTCAGATAGTTATAATAGTTACGATATGGCTGGGCATTCTTTTTATAAGAGCGAACATTCGATTGTGCATAAATATATATTATAAATAGAATTATTATAATATTTATTATAATTGAATTACATATGAATAGTTAATATTGTTATCGGCAGAACAATCTTTTTTCAACACTTTTTTGCCACATGCACAAGTTTTTGCATAAGTTTTCAAACGTTTTACCACAAGACCAATGCCCCCCACGATTTAACGGCGAACTAAGTGTCTAAGCTAACTATACCAAATTATAATAATATAAAAAACTTACTCAAAGTCGTTGCAGAGTTCACCTTTTATCGTGAACATTTTGAGGCTTATAAGCTTGTAATCGCTTGTTCTTGTACTTGTTTTTATTGTTAATGCCGTGACGTGGCCAATTGGCCAATCCACATATGGAACGGCTGACCATTTTGCACTTGGCTCTATAATTATTTTCGTTAGAATGCAAGACAAGCGTGCAGGCAAAAACGTTTCAATTATTTTCAATGAATATTCAAAATAAAATAAATGGAATGAACACAGGCAAACTCAAGTTAGAAAATATATTAAAATATTCAGGCCGAAACTTAGATATGCTGTATGAAATCATTGAAGATTTATTTAAAGTTTCTAAAATTAGGTTTTCTTTTCTTGACCCAACCAAGAACTTTTGTCATATATTTTTTTCTATTACAACAGTTTTTTACGATAGCAATTAATTATTTTTAAATCTTATCCAAATGCTATTCAGTAGCTAAATATGTGGTTTTTTGTGGTTATCTTTAGGGAATTAGTGAGGTGTCGGAAGCCCTGAGCTTGCACAGATTTCACGAAGAGGTGTGAAATAGATTAATTAGATGTTATATTTTATACATTAAAAAGTAAATTATGTGCTCAGGGTTGTGAGTAGTGTTAAAGTACAAAATAGTCAAAATAAATAAATAATTAATTGAAAAAAGGAAAATTTTAAATCAACACGTCCCATTTCCGTAAATGAAATAAAAATTAAAAAGGAAGATTAATTTTCAATGTTTTCTTTGATACGGAGTCTGAAAGTAAAATTATAATTCTTGGACTCTTAAAGTTCTTAAGCTTAATAGAATAAATTCTAAAATTAATTCCATTTCTTAAACCAAGACATTTCCAATGCTTTAGTTCCCATCTCATCACATCAAAATTATCTTTATTTCTACTACGACAATTTCAACCCCATCACGCTCAGACAATTGCCTTCAATTGATAATTATTGTCAACATTATTAAATTTTAGCAAGCTGAATGAAAAAGTTATAAGAGCCTTGACATAGAGTACAGCAATTTATTTTATACTGAAAAATATTGCCAGACGTTTTGTTGTTGTTGTTGTTGTGTCTCTTGTTTTTGGCTCTAATGACGTACGAATAGGGCGTGTATAATTGAATTGCTGCGCGGGTTCATTGCTCTGGATTCTATGCCGAAAAGCGTGTTAGTCAGGGCTTTAAATTACTCGATTGCCAGCTATAACAATTGCCTTTGCGGTCATAAAATGCAATCGTGTGGCAAATTGCAACGTTGCAAAAAGTCAATCAAATGTTGACTTCACAAATTACAAATTGCATTAGAAATCACAATATAAACTGTTCCTTGGACTTATATGTACTATTGAAGTTGTGAACAGAGCTTCTAGAAAGCCACCGAACCTTCTGAAAGTACACCAAAATGCATATTTAGAGAGCTTCGATTGATTTTAATGAGCGCAAATTAGCAATACCGGATATGTTAGGCGGGCAGTGAGAGTATTAACAGACATTAACCCAGATTAACTATACTTAATAACAGGTTCACTACCATTTATCTAGCGGTTATTGGAAAAGTATTGACTCAGCAAGGTGGCTGCGATTTATGCATCAATAAACTTTGAATAATTAATAGGGACTGGTACTTTAAACAATATGAGACTTCACCAAATAAACGCCCATTTCTAAAAAAAAAAAAAAAATCTACTGTAAATATAGTCTAGCACAGATAATATATTATATCCATATAGCTGATAATAAAATCGACTTATCATTAACTTTAAATGGTGAATGAGCCTTGACTAGTTCAGTGGCTTTGTATTACAACAGCAGAGTTTATTAAGTTCTTAATTAAAAAGTGAATATGAAAATAATTATCTTTTTTATTTCCATGTAACTTTATGGGCTTTAAATTTCGAGAAAAATAAAACAAAAGTAATCCAGAAAATTATTTCTAACTGCGACATTGACTTGAAATGGTACGTGCCACACCAAAAGACAAGGGAATTTACTTTAAATACCATGGCGAAGAGTATTATGCTTTAAACATAACGTTTGTCATGCTGGGCAAAAGAGCTGTTCTCTTATCATATAATTCGATATTTCATAGTGATAGGCTTCACTAATATAATGCATAATTTAATATATATACAGAGAAATAAAGAGAATCAAATAATTTTGAGAGAACATTTTAAATTTTATGTGTTGACATATTTATTACATCAAATTTATCTTACTAATACTTTCTAACGATTTTTTCGCTTGTCACGATGGATTTTTCCCTGCCATGTTTGATAGTGTTGCATCACATTTGTTTATTTGGTTAAAGGTATTTGTATTGTATAGATTATTTGCCCTTATTATAATTGTGAGAAACGGAAATTAAGATTTTAAATTCATACAAGGGTATATACTATTCTAGTTCTTATGAAAAAATGTCACGTTAAACAAATTACATAAACTGGACAATGCCTCTCAAAAGATTATTTGTACATATAGACACATTTTTTGTCATATCAAATTGCTTTTCATTCTTGTGAAATGAAATAAATGCGAAAACAAGTGTTTACATTATGTGTCCACACAATACAAATAAAAAATGCAAAATAATAAAAAAAAAAATAGCAGTTTGGACTGTGTGATAAAGTTAACACCTTAAAGCCATCAAGGGAATCAGCATAAAAGAATCAAATAAAACACAACAACAACAGCGACGGCAAAAGAAACGACAATTTCGCAAACACGAGTTCCGTCAGTCAAATGACACTTGGACACGAGGTCCAATTAGAGCTGGCGCAAATTTGAAAATCGATATGACATGAAGGAAAACAAGGGCAATCCGGCCGGCAAGTGTCCACGGCACACAGGGCGCATGCCAAAAGGCATTCATCTAGCCGGAGGCAGAGCCGCAGCCGTGTCAAACTGTGATGTATGAGGCCAACTTTTGACTTTTTGGGCAACAGTGGGTGACGCTTTGTCAACAATAATGACACAGAAATGTAAGTAATTGCCAAACCTTTGACAAACAGGCAAGAGTCAAGACAGGCGTCAAGGGTTACAGGGTTCGAGGGTCAGGACCCTCTCGTGGGCCGGCCGACAAACCGGCTGATAACGTCATGAAACCGACGGGCTGCAGAAAATTTGATATTACCACAAACAAAAAAAAAATGGGCTAACAGAAATAAAAAAACCCCAAGCAGCAAAAAACGTGAGCAACTTTTATTGTTGCTTTCGTTTACGTTTGGCTTGTGG